AACTATTCTATCTGCTTCCCCCATTTCCTCTGCTTCCAAACGTTCTTGCAAAGATCTCTTGAAACCATACCAATGCTATCCTCATCACTCCTTGGTGTCCCAGACAACACTGGTTCCCCCTTCTGCTTGACCTAGCTAACAAGACTTTCTGTCATCTACTACACAGAGACAACCTCCTCTCACAGGATCATGGCAAGACTCTCCATCCCAACCTGTCCACCCTTCACCTCACCACATGGAGAATTCATCAGACTCAGTCCCACTAATGGACATTCCTCCTGACATTAAACTGGTCTTAAGCACTTCATTTAAACCATCTTGCAGGTCATACAATGCAAAGTGGGCAATGTTTATCTCCTTTGCAACCCAACATAACTTCTCCCCAGCTGCAGCCTCTCCAGTTCAAATCCTTCTATTTTTTTAATCTGTTGTACAAGAAGTGTATTTCTTATTCTTCTATCAAAGTTTACATGACTGCCGTTTCAACCTTTCATGACCCTGCTCAAGTACACTCAGCTTTCTCACATCCCCTGTAAATTTCTCAAGGGGATCCTTAATCTAACTCCTCCTCTCAAACATCCTCCTCCATCCTGGAGTTTGTCTGCTGTCCTCCATGCATTCACTAAGCCTCCCTTTGAGCCCATGTACTTATGCGATCTTTGCCTTCTTTCTTTGAAAACTGCCTTTTTAGTTGCTGTTACTTCTGCCCAAAGAGTGGCTGAACTTGCCGCCCTCTGAATTGACTCTCCATATACCATTTTCCATAAGGATAAAGTTGTTCTCCAATGTGGCCCTACCTTCCTACCTAAAGTAGTTTCTTATTTTTGTATCAATATATAATTCTACCTTCATTCTTTCAGAACCCCTCTACTCCTATTGAAACCACTCTACATTTCCTGGATGTGAGAAGGGCTCTTGCCTTTTACAAATCAAGAACCCAATCTTTCAGGCAATCTCAAAGACTATTCATTCTATACTGTGAACTGTGCAAATGAAGCCCAGTTTCCCCTCAGAGGCTGTCCAGATGAATTGTGCGTACCATATGCTTGGCCTATGACCTCTCCAGACTCCAGCTTTCTGTACCCATCAAAGCTCATTCCACTAGAGCTACATCTGCCTCCACTGCACTCTATGCTGGAGTATCCCTGACTGACCTCTGTAAAGTGGCAACTTGGTCAAGCCTGTTGACCTTTGTTTGGCACTACCGCCTTGATCTTAGATCCAGAGAGGACTGCACCTTTGGCAGACCTGTCCTCTTTGCTATACTTCACTGAGTGACACCACCCTCCTCCTCGAGGTAAGCTCGCCAGTTGCCCATATGTGTGATGCACAGAGAACACAAAGAATAGACAGGTTTCCTTACCTGTAGCTGCTTCCTCCTGAGCCTTTAGAGATTCTCAGTTTTGTGAGGTGTTGGTTGTAGAGTGGAGGGTTTTACCCATGATCGATAACTTAGATCAGGGTCTGTTGTGCCAGTTCTGAGATTGGTGGAGCCATGTTGACTTGAACTCTATTAAATACCAGGTCAGTTACCAGAGTGAATAGGAGTTTTATTTCAATATTGATAGATTTGGCCATTCGGAGGATTTGTTCAGCATTGGGCCTGATGCTGTCTGAGGAAAATAAGGGACAGTGATTTCATAATTAAATGACAGAGAGCAATAGTAATGGTAATAGGCACAGTCAAGTTTTGGCATTTCAGGGTGGTGGCAAACCATGATGCTGAGGATGCTGAAGATGTACACAAAGAGTGTTAGCTGGAAGTAGGGTAAATGATAAGCCTCAGGTGTGAAGTACTGTGGGGATTCACCACCAGGCATAGAAAAACATCCTGGGAGTTGTGGTGATTATGGACAAGGAACTTCTCTAGTACTGGTGTTGGTGGGTGCCAGCCATGTCAGCTGGAAAACTATACAGAGCTCTCTGGAAACCATCTGGATCCATTAGCCTCCAGGGAGGGACCGTCTTAATGGGTCCTCCACCCTTGTGAAGAGGAAAAGCTGCTGTAAATCTAAATTTCAGCAGGTGGTGATCTGACCATGGCAAGGGATTGATTCAAAGTCCCCCATACTCAGAGCACCATCCTGAAATCTGGCTGAGAAGACCAATTATAGAGTATGTCCTACCACATGAGTTGAACCAGTGACATGTTGGGACAGTCCCATGGTTGTCATGGTAACCATGAAATCCAGAGCCACCTCAGATGGGGTGTGCTCAGTATAAATGCTGAAGTTGTCCATGGTCTGGGAGAATGCAGTGTCACATCTGAGACCACCTCCATCAACTCAGGTAGAAAGACTGATGAGTTGCAGCATGGGCAGTGCACCAGCAGAATCCCCAATCTGTCCCACTGGCCCAATACAAGGTGCAAACATTCCAGACTAGTGGTCAAAAGGACAAGGATGCCTGGAAAGGGAGATAGAATTCCTTTAAACCATAGCAGCCCCCATCCCCATCCCTCACATCTACCCTGATGCTGAAGCAAATAGAGATGGGCACAACTGGGAGATACTAACTCCTCCTTCCTGTTTACCAACCCAGATCAGCAGCCTAGAAGGTTTCACTACTGTTTTAAAAACTTCTATATTATTACGGTTGCCAACAATCCTAACCCTTACCCAAGTGCTCCAGAAGTCTTCCTGTCCTCATCAGCAGACCTTTTTCCAGCATCTGCCTCCCATGTTCTCAGATTGCCCTTCAGGTCTTGTCTTCCTGTTCTTGTGGCTGCTCTTATTCCTGGCTTATTCCTTAGGCTAACCAGCCTCTTGTGAAGACATATCCTAACTACTCTTCCTCAGGCAAAACTCTCCCAGGCAAACTCCCTCTAGATATTTCTCCATAACTGCTTATATATGCTCTTGACAGAACATTTCAGGCAATCATCTTTGACATGGCCAACATCCTATCACTCTAAATCTGTTCAAACTTAGAACCAATTGGCATCTTTGAAATGTTCAGTTATTCTCCAATCAGATGGTACCAATTTCAATCATTCCTTTCTATACAATAAGACAGAAACCTGACTTCATATTGCTATTTTATGAGCACACCATATTTACAGTGTATTTCTCCTCAGGCACAAGCCTCTAATAAAAGGCACACATTTTCTTTCTACTGTTAACCCTTTTGTTCAAGTGCTATCTTTAAAAAAGCCAACTACTTTTTATTCTTGGTAGTAGCAAAATTTCCAGACCCATTTTTTGTTAGGGTAACTACAGCTAAATGACCCAGAGATGCTTGGAAGTGATAACATCCTTACTTTCTCCCCCTCCAACACCACTCCAGTCAGAAGGAAGAGTCAAGCTAGGCTTGAAGAGAACAACAGGATCTGTTTGGGAAGCCAAGTTGCACATAAGGCTATCCTACCTTGGCTGCAAGCCGTTTTGGCTTGATGGTTGTGCAAAGAACCTACAGTGAGCCCCACAGTGGATCAGGCGCACTGTAATTTGTTGGTCCCCTCCTCTTCTCAATCCTCCCACAGTAATCCTGGGCATATTGTGGGAGAAATAAATCTCTTAGTCTTGCCCCACTGACAGTAGGAAGCCATTTCAAGGTCACTCTGGCTTTTTTCCTTTTAAACTTTATTTTCTTTGAAGACCATCAAATGGGGTTGTCAGTAGGGTACTTTTTGCCTGGAATATATGGGTCCTAATCCAAATCTCCAAGCTCCCACTCAAAACTTGTTTATTAAAGTGACCAGTGATTTTGACAAACAGCTGACAAAAACTCCTTTTCCCAAGAAAAGCATGTGTGAGGGAGGGGGTGATTAAGTTTTACACTTTCCGGAGCACCTAGCGCTTTCCTGAACACCTAGAGTATCAAGACAAAGTGCAACATGTGCACCTTATGGAAACTAAAGTAGGAGGAAGAAGAGAGATGAGGATCTTTCTGTGGAGGGGAGAAGTCCTCCCCCAAAACCCCTTATCACAGCAAAATATCACTCAGAGCTCTGAGAAATCAAAAATATGAGACATAGGTCCCAGTCATGACAGCCCCTCCAAGGTTCATATCTGTCAAAACAAGGATTACTGGCTTCTGCAACCTAAAGGAAAAAGGGTTTAAATGTGGCAGCAGAGGAGCCACAGTGAAACTGAAATGATTTATGGGCAGCAATAGGAAGGTGGAGGAAGCCAATGCCAGCTGCTCCCAAGTGCGGCAGCTACTAGTGTTAACTTGGTAGCCGCATGGAAAGAACAGCAAGGGCTTTTTGCCACATTTCCCATAGGGCTCAGTAGCCAATTCTCCCAAATGGGGTTGGACATCCATGTATAGATGACACAGACACTCATAGTGAGTGCAAGCCCTAAACCAGCCCATGTGTTGCTTGAGTAACTTCAAGCAATCCTGGGGAATTCAGTGCAGATACGCTTGCAGAATTCATCATGGGTAGCAGCCCACAGTGTTTTGTTACATGATGCAAACCCACTCAGAGAGACACAAAGGTAAGTGAGTTGAGTTAAGGGGCCTGTGCAGTCTATAAACAATGGGTTACAGAGTGGAGCTCTGATAAGGAACAGTAGGTTTGGCTGTTGGAATGTTTAACTTGTGTCTCTGCCCATCTGAGTGGGGTGGTGTAACGTGCTGTCCTGCAGCTGCTGCAGGTTGGACTCGATGGCCTTCATGGCCCCTTCCAACTCAACTATGATCCTCAGCCTGTATAAGGGCTCCAGTGATCTCCTTCCAAAGCAAATAGAAAATGGGCCAGTGCTGTGCCCCTGAAACTCCTCACCACTCAGAAATGGGAATGAATCGTAGCAATAGGCTTTCAATGTAGATTCTGTTCCTTTAATGTTGCAAAATTATTTGGGGAAATGTTTTTATTAAGTAGTCTCACACTGAAGGTTTGTTTCTTGGGTTTTTTTGTGGGGGTTCTTAGTTTTTGTTTGTTTTGTACTTTCTCAGTTGATTTATATTTCTTACAAGTATAAATTGAGATTTTGTGTGATGCACTAAAACAAGTTTGGCTTCACTGTACCTCCTCAAGCATGTATTTTTTGCAGGTGAGGCAGGAGATTGTAAATGTGCTGATAGTACTGAAGGGAAAAGGGGTCCTGCCGGGCCACCTGGTCCACCAGGTTTTCCAGGTGCTGTGGGACAGCCTGGAAGAAAAGGCGAAACTGGAGATCAAGGCCAACATGGAGTTCCTGGTTTTCTTGGTGCAAAAGTATGACATTTCTGTAGTAAATTTACTAAACATCCTAAGCACAAACATAAAAAGTTAAATTCTTTAGAATTTATTTTACTTACTTATTTTGAATATATATATGCCTCTTTTCAAGGAAAAAAAATTCAACATGATTTACAAATTAGCTTGCAACTGTGTTTCTATAGAATTGTTTACACTCTTATCAAGGGTGGGCTTCCACATGTAGACATTCTGTCCTGATAAAGTAACAGCCTTTTCATCTAGTTCTGACTGTCACAATATTGGTGGTAGAGCCGAAGAGTAATCCCTCCTTGAAAGCACAATTCCTCTAACTGAATCTGGGAGCAGAAAAGATGAGACCAAGACAGATTTTGGTGCCTAAAATGATAGACCTGTTCCTGGGTATATTTGACCTGCTGATTCCAAAAATGGCACCAATTTTTCCCTGTCAGCTCTAGTTTTTGAGGTACAGCATAAATGCCATATACCACTGTTCACTCTGGTCACCTGTCAAAAATCAAGATGTTTTATTGTAGTGTTTTATTTAACCCCCTTATAGCATGAAAGAAGCACATTAAAATTAAAAGAAAAGTGAAATGTACTAAATCTGCTTATTTCAAATCAAAGCACAGGTTTATGATTCCAATCATTTGACACAGAAGACGCTCCTTTTGTAAGATTTCCAAGAGTGGGATCTGCCAGGCCAATCCTGCATAAGGTTCCAGCAGTAATCTGCCATCCTGTCTGCATCCCGTCTTCCTTGGTATCTGCCTTCCATTGTTTTTATGTCTTGGTGAAATATTTCACTTTGCTATTCTCTTAAGTCATCAGGGTTCTCTGGAAGGCAACTGTGCAGATAACACTCATTTTACAACCAAGTCTATGGAAATGAAAAAGTGTCTCCTCTACTCTGAGTATAGTTATCTGCCTTCTTGTTGTCAAGGAAGTTTTTCACAAGAACAAATGAAGACCAGGTACAAGATTCGATTTCATTCATTGAGTCTATGAAATGTGGGTCATTTATGAGCTGCATGATCTGTTAATAAATTACCCTTTAGAATCCAATGTTTCCAATGTAAAATTACAATTGGAATTACGTAAACACTCTCACTATATCTGCTAACTTGTACACAAAAACACAAACTAGGTAACAGAAGAACAAGTTTGATCAGCAAGATCTTTTCAAAAACTGACTAATTTTTTTTATAAATTTAACCATATCTAGATTGATAGTTGCATCTAGCCTATGCAATTTTTGAATCAGCACCTCAAATAATCCCAAGAACTGGTCTAAAAAGCAAAGCATTGAGAAAAAAGGTTTTGTTTTTGTCTTTTGTTTTTTTTTGGTGGGGGGTGATTTATAGTCTGAATCAAGAGGTCAGGGCTGCTCTGGCCACACAGGTCTTCCTAGAGACAATTCGCTTGAAGGCTTTAACATTAAATTCCCAAAAATTATGAAACTGGATTGGTTCTTGAAATGTTCACAAACTGACTTTTGTTTTGCTTTTAATCAGTTAAAATGGTTATTTTTGTCCTATTTTTATCTGTATGCTTTAATAAGTTGTGTATGCTTTATGCCCTGATCTTGTAAGAAGAAATGGACAGGAGGTTTCCATTACACCTATAGATATTACTAAGATCATCATGATTAATTAAAGTGTGAATTCCAACCAACAGGGATTTCCTGGTGTTCCTGGGCCTCCTGGACATAAAGGGATAAAAGGCGATTCCCGATATGTTACAACAAAAGGTATAGCCAGAAAGCTTTTTAATGATTTTTTTAAATAAAGCTGATTTGGTAGTGTATTTATTACAATACCTGTAACTAAACACAAGTATTTTTCCAGGTGCCAAAGGAGATCAAGGAATTCCTGGAATTCCTGGAGCTAAAGGAGAAGATGGTTTACCAGGCAGAGATGGCAAAGATGGTTTACCAGGATTTCCTGGGGTTCGGGTAACCATTTCACTTTTTTTCCCATCAAAATGCTGAAAAAGAGAATCAATATCCAGAAATCATTTAGCATTTCTTGTCATTCAGTCAGGTGAAGCTGTGTGACTATTAATCAGTGTTGGGACTGTCAGTCTAGCTAAGGCCCAGGTGGACTCAGTGGCACACAGAGCCCTTTACCAGCCTTTTACCTGGTTTACCAGCTATGCTGATTTCTGGATAGTTAGGCCTTGATGATCCATGCTGTGCTCACCTCCAGGCTGTTTTATATATAGGGATGTCTTTGAGACAACTCAGGAGTTTCAACCGGTATAGAATATGATTACCAGAATTTTGACTGGTATAATTGTATCATGCCATTTTGAAAATTAGGTGCCTTTTAACTTCTGGACACAGATTGAGGTTGCCAAGCAAGAGTTGCTGAATATGCCTGTGCTTGTGTAGTAAATGGGATACATTTCTATGAATAGTAAGTCAGCTTTACAGAAAGAGCAATTTTCCATGTTCTGTTCATTTTCTATCAATGGTCTACAATAGTTGATAGTTTCCAAATTTTAAGAGATGCTTAGTAGGAGGAGTTTTCAAACTTCTCAATTTCAGCTTTAATAAGCTTTAAAAAAAGTAAAGTGCTTGGTGTAGAGAGGGGCACTGTATAACTTTCCATGGAAACTCTGGATATGTTAATATAATTTTGTACAATACCTGTTAACTGTTTTATCTGAAAAGAGGCAAAATACAATTGTAAATTGGATATAGCATATCTTCCTCTCATTTGGCTGTTTTTCTGTGCAGCCCTAATCTAGACTCCTTTTGTTGATGAATCTTTCTCTAGTAATTCTTGCTATTTTTCAGTTGGTTCCCTGCTGAGAAACATGCCTAAGAGGAATATAAGCTTGGACAGAATTTTAATACAGACGCAACATATTAAGCCATAGTGAATTATAAGCCATGGTGACTCGGCCTGTTGTCTGAACCCAACACTCTTTCCACAGGGTGATTTATATAGGTGAAGAATCCCTTTTATCTGGATGAGTGCCTCAGAGGCAGTATAGAGCTAAGCAGTGCTGTCTGGAGTAGGAATATATAAGAATTCCATTTTGGGGTGAAGTATCAGTGGCTTTTGCTGTTTTGACCTTGCTGATACTGACTCAATTGGTAGCAAGTTAATTCAGTCCAAGGGTTCCTTTTTCTTTGTTTAATGGCAGCAATTGGTGCAAACTGGATTTTTTTGAGGGAGATAATTGAATTTGTTGAAATGGCATTTTAGGTAGATAGAATGAATGAATGCTCAAGATGGTAAGCCCACCTGTCCACTATGCAGCTCTGCAAAGGCTTATGGCCCTCTTGTCAGTTTTGTCCTTTAGCCCAGCAAGGCCATATTCTATAGTTGTCAAAGAACTTGCCCTTTTCTTCCTCTGCTTTGGAACTTCCTAAGTAAGGGGGGATGGGGTCATGAACATCTCATCAACCCCAGAAGGCCATACTGGGACTCCAGGCTGGTCAGATTTAGTCTACAAGAATGAGGTTCAACACCTGAAGGTCAACCTGTGGCCCATCACTGTTGTTATCTGCTGTCAAGTTGTCTCCAACATATGGTGATCCTATGAATGAAAGCCCTCCAAAATGTTGTATTCATGATAGCTGTTATAAATTCAAGGCTGTAGCTTTGTTTAAGTAATCTGTCCATCTCATAGTTGGTCTTCTTTTACTTCTGCCTTTGACTTTCCCTAGCATGATTGTCTTCTCCAGGGAGATGTGTCCTATCATGAGATGCCCAAATAGGACAGCCTCAGTTTTGCCAGTTTTGCTTCTACGGAAAGCTTTAGCTTGATTTGAACACTGGTTCATCTTTCTGTCAGTCCATGGTATTCACAAAGCTTTTTTCCAGCACCATGTTTTGAATGTATACATTTTCTTCCCTGCCTAGCTTTCATGGGAATACAATACTAGGAAAGATCTTGGTCTTGATCCCCAATCAAACATCTTAACATGTGATGATGTTTCAGGCTTAGAAACATAGAAACAGAGCGAGTCAGAAGGGGCCTCCTGTGCCATCTAGTCTGACCTCCGGCACCAGCCGGCTCTGTTCACAACAAAGACTTCTTTGAATTTCTTGGCTACAGTCTCTATTTGTGTTGATGACTGAACTGAGGTATGCAAAATTTTCCACAAATTCAATTTCTTCACCATTAACAGTACAGTTCTATAATTCTTTAGTCATGATTTTTATGTTTTTAACAATCAGCTACAGTCTTGCTTTGTACTTGCTTTTTTCCCTTTTATAAGGAGTCACTTCAGTTTGTGGCTGCTCTCTGTGAGTAATGTGGTATCATCTGCATATATTAAATTATTGGTGTGTCTTCCACCAATTTTCACTCCTTCCTCTGATTCTAATCCACATTTTCTTATGTTCTGTGTGGAGACTGAGCAGATAGGGAGATAAAATACACCCTTGTCTGATGCCTTCGCTTATGGACATCCATTTTGTTTCTCCATATTCTATCCTAAAAGTAGGGGGTTTTTTCCACAGTATGGGTAGATCAGAATGATCAAGTGCTGAAGCACACCCATTTCTTTCAGGACCATGCATTGCTTCTCATAATCCACACAGTCAAAGACTTGCTGTAGTCTATAAAGCATAGACTGATGATCTTCTGGAATCCTTTGGTGTGCTCCAGTAGCCAATATATATTCGCAATATGACCTTGAGTGCCTCTTTCTTTTTGGGAATTGAACTTGAATTGAATTAGTGTCTATGGCTGCTGCACTCATTTGTATCTCACTTATTGCGGATTGGAATGCACACTGAACAATGGAATGTGTGAGAAATCTGTCCAGTTTCAAGGAACCATTGTACCCTGAAATGTTGTTCATCTCCCTGGTCTCTAGTCCTCTTTGTGGAAGCCCAGATTCTGAGTTCCTGGCAAGCACACCCAGCATTTGCACAGTGCTCACTAAGAATGGACACCCATGCTCTGTGCAGTCATTACCTACTTGCACACCATAGCAGCACCTTGGACAGTGGCTGTTCCTCATACCAAAGAAGACTGAGCAATGGGATGCACAGTCTTGGGGTGCCTGCCAGGATAGCAGCCCTCCTGACTGGTAGTACACCTCTTGCAAGCTAGGGTACCTCCTCCCCCATTGTGAAAGTAGTATCTCTCTTTCACACCAGCTTAAACTTCCTTTTCAGCTGCTGATGTTGAGAGGGAACAATGTTGCCAGTTGTGCATCTGAGACCTGGTGAGCATTCCTGGACTTCTCTTGGTTTGTCCCTATTAGGAAGATCAGGCCAAGCACAAGAGGAAGCCCATTAATGTTTGGAGGGGTAGATTCTGACAGGGTCTGTCCCATCCCTTATTGAACATTTCCAGTCTGTAGGCAAGTGTTTTGTTTTCCATAATTGATGGCATATTCTTGTTAGGGTTAGGGTTAGGATTTGGAGAGATTCAGTCACTGCAGCTTGGAATAGTTCTCTTGGTATCCTGTCTACTGCAGGTACTGTATTCCAAGTGCTTCAGAGCAGCTTTCACCTCATTTTCCAATACTGCAAGTTCTTCCTCACAAGATTTCTCTTTGCAGGAGTTTGTTATCCTCTCCTCTCTTCCCTACAGTTCTTCTGCATATCCTTTTCATCTTCTCTTTATTTTCTCCTGGTCAGATAGTGCATTGCCCCATTTGTCTTTTACCATTCCTAATTCAGGTTTGAATTTTCCTCTGATTTCTTGGATCTTCTGGAAGGGATATCTTGTTTTTTCTCTTTTGTTATTCTCTTCCATATCTTTGCAATGACCCCTGTAATAGTTCTTTTTATTTCTACATGGTAGTTGCTAAGAAGTTACATTCAGAGTGTGACCATAATTCTGTCAAATTTTGCTTTTGCTCCTCATTTGTCCTGAACAACTATTAGTGTTTCTTCTGTCATCTATTTAGGCTTCTTCTTTCTTTTTGGTATAGGAATTGTCTTTTGACATTTGTCATATCCTTCCTGGAGGAGGATCTTTCAGATGAGGAGAGCTGGTGCAGTGGACCAGAACCACACCCAAACTCAGAGACCAAGCCTGTGGATGACTGCCCTCTGTTAGAAGAGCTGCCAGGTCCCTCATGGGCAATCCCAGAGGCAAAGGCAGAGGCAATTCACCCTTTGGAAAGGAGGAGGAGTGCATGGCTTGAGAGTCAGAGGGTGTGTTCCACAGAAAAAGCAGGCTGACTTAGCTGTGCTGCTTCCCAGCTGCAATAAAATTAGATCAGCCAAAGCCTGCTCTCATGGCCAGCCCTGATAACTGCATTCCTTGTTTTCCCTGAAGATTAGTTGGCAGCTAGGTGTCTTTGTGGTCTCTGAGCATCAGACATATGGGTGCTGCTCCTGCGCAGTGTCTCTGTTTGGGAAGATTCTTCTAGCTAAGCCTGGAATTCTTGGCGAGACCCCTGCCCCCCTCCTCCTCAGTATAAATACATGGGGCTCCTGCCATTTTCTCAGTTCGCCTTCCACTGCCATTCGCTGTGCCTCAGGATATCTAGTGGTCTTTCTTTCGATTTACCTCAGATTATCTCCCTCTTTACATTTAGCTTTTAATTTCTCATTTTCTCTTTTTCCCTCCTCTTCTTTCCTCAAAAAACAAAAAACTTTCTAACATCCTCCACTTCTCTCAGACTTCTTCCTTCTCTTCCTTAATCTTCTCTCAATGGTGCACAAACCAGCCTTTAGAAAATGTGTAAAGTGCTGTGCTAAAATGCCATCCACCAATGAACACTCATTGTGTCTTTTCTGTCTGGACGAAGAACATCACTTCAAGAAATGCCTGCATTGTCAGGCATTTACAAAACAAGCCAGCAAAAACAGGGCTGGATGCCTGAAAATGGAGATGACAAGGGCTTTCATTGCTATGCAAGACCTGGCCACTGGCAAAAACAACTGCCTTTCTACCTCTGAAAAGGCTGCCAAAAACTGCCCTTCATCCATGGCAGTGAGTGTACCGAAACTGACTCCATTGGCTTCAGAACAGCTAGCCTCTTTCAATGCTCCTAAAAACCACAAAGAAAAGAGCAAACACCTGATTGCAGAAGAGCCCAAAGGGGCTAAGAAGTCAGGCAAGCACAAGTCCACAAAGAAACCCAGGCACCGCTCACCAGTCACCATGGTTCACCTGCCCTGCCAGTGGCCCTGGCTACTTCTTTCATGCCAACCCAGCAGTTGACCTGGGCTTATGTGACTGGACAGGTTCAAGCTACTCCAACTTGATTGGAGTCTGCTACAATCCAACCTGAACCAATGGGACAAACCTCGTTCTCCAAAGGGGAGAACCATGATTCACCAAGCCATTCTCCAGCTGCTCCCATTACTCTAGCCAAATAGGTAAACACACCATGTCATGAGGCAGAACCTGAGCCGATTCTGATGCCCCATCCATATGGGCTACCATCTTGAACGGTGGATGCATTTTGGTCAGCCTTGATAATTTGCACCTTGGATGGCCCTGCTAGGAGACCAGCCTAGTGAGACAGTCTGACCTCCTGGCAGCACTTCTTTCAGCTTCTCTGACACTTTCAACCACTGCACCACATTAAGGTGTAGATCAGTGTGTGTGAGAGTGTGTGTGTGTAGTTGGGGAGGGGATAATTTAATACTTAAAACTGTGTTTGAAATGAAACATAGACATTCATTTTTCATTCTTAATCAGATCTTTTTGTTAACTATCTGCACTGTGGCTTTTGTCAACCTAGAGCTATATATCAGGTTTTTCTCCTATTTCCGTACTTCAGTTACACTGAAGTATGGCTGAACTAGTGGTTTGCTGCATCTTTTCTGCAACATTCAGAGTGTCACTACAAGAGTAGTTTAATTGTATAATATTTTCTTTTCAAAGGAAAGAAGATTCCCAAGCCCCTGAGCTATAAGTTTGCAGAGGATTGCCTTGCTGTTATTAGTTCTCTCTTTTTTGTTCTTGTTTCAATTTCAGCTGCTAATTAATCAATTAAACAAAGGTGTAATTGGATTAAAAATGGTAGCATTTACCTTTTTACCCTTAATTCACCTGTGCTTAAGCCCTTTTACTTTCATGTTTTGTCACCAAGGCTGAGAGACAGAGGTTATGTCTTGTAGACTCTCATAGCAGCTGTCTAGCAAGTGATGAAACAACTCATGCTATACTGGTGGTAGTTAATGGCAGGGGCACAAGAAAGCAGCATCAGTAAAACTACTGAGAAAGTGAGGAAGGTTTACATAGTAAGAAAGTTGCAACATTTTTGTTTTCTTTTCAGGGTGATGGTATAAGAGGTGGAATAGGGGATGTTGGTGAACCAGGTCCACCAGGCCTGAAGGGCTTTCCAGGTGAAACTGGTCATCCTGGTATTGGTTTGCCAGGCCCCAAAGGATATCGTGGCATTCCAGGTAATCCTGGAAAATACGGAAAGCCTGGTTTACAAGGTCCTCCAGGCCCTCCAGGTGCTTCTGCTGAAATAGGTATGTATGAAATCTCTAGGAATCCCTACATTTTTGACAAATTTGATATTATGAGAAAATTCCATGGTTACCACCACAAAAAGACTTCTGCAAGGGCATGGCCAATTATAAAATGGCAGGAAGTTAAAAGTCATTTCTATTGAATAAGAAATTGATCATTATATACATTTTCATCATTTTTACATAGGTTCCCTCTAAATTCAGTGTAAAATTAAAACATATTGGTATTTATAGATTGCACAGTGAAAACTTTGGATCCTGTGCTCACCAAGGCTGCTTACAGCACAAAAACGTGCTTGTATACATAAATAGGAAACCAACAAAATCACTATGACATTACAGAATGCTTCTGTAGACAAAGAGGAGGCATGCAATTTTTTTTTTCTGTGAGAAACCTTACAATAACCTAATACAAATCACGACAATCCATGCCTCACTTCTATAATTTTGGATTGTGGTAGTGCTGAGAAGTATCACATCTTTGATATTTTACTGTGCAATCTGTGGACACTAAGGTAGGCTTTACACTGATATGGGCAAGGTGGGGTGGCAGACTCTAAAAATCTTACATTTTCAGGAAGCTCTGTTCCAATTTTATTAGAATCAACATATTTGGATCTAATGGGGAAAGAGCAGGGTTCCCTGAGCCCCTCTCTGTGGAAGGCTGCATTCTCTCTCTTGCTCTCTGTGTGTGTGTGTGTGCATGCGTGTGTTTCTCTCTCTTCCCCCTTGTGCTTTCTCTCTCTCAGAATTATCTCAGCACCATCCCTCTTGGGTTATGCTCTCCTGCCACCCATATCAGTCCCCTCGTTTCTGGCATTCCTACTGCAGTTTGAGGGTTCGGTGGCTGCAGCAGCATCACCAGGTCTATGTCCATAAGACATCGTTTCTGCAGGTGGTGCCTAGCTGACATGTCACAAAACCCTGGCCAAAGCAACAAAGCTCCCCCAATGGTTGTTGGGGGAGTATGCTGATGAAGGAGCAAATGTAACTATCTTCTGTGTTTTGGTGGTTGCAGAATTGTCACTGGCTCCTTAACTAAATGGTGCTTGTACAACATTGCTCCAGTTCTCATGAAATTTAAATACCTAAGAACTTAGCCTTGATTGTGCATTCATTGAACTCTTCTACATCCACTCCACAGCTAGAGTGCATGGTTTCTATTTTCTAGGCAGTGCCTCTTTTTTTTCAAACAATGTTTGTAAAAGTAGATATTCTTGTTTCATTTTTATATTGTAGAATGTGGACAAAGAGTGGCAGACTTCATTACAGATAACAGAACTGGACTAATTCAGTCAGGTAAAATAAACTGAATAAGATTGTGAGAGGTTGTACTTGGGTGAAAACCCTGCTAGGCTTATTGCTGTACCTGCAGACAATTACATGGTTGCAGAAGGAGGTGGGGTAGTTGTCAGGTACAGTCACTGAGCACAAGCTGTAGAGAATGAGATACAAGAGAGGATGCAGAGATATAGAGGAAGGAATGCTGTTTGTAAGCACAGACAATTAAATATTGGGTAGATTTGGAAAATGCTTTAAGGCAAGGAAGGCTTTACAGCCACCTTGATCTTTATTTATTTTTAAATATATTCCTCATTTCTTCTTCGTGGCCTCTGTGCATCACACATATGGGTTCTGTGCCAGCGCAGAGCCTTTGGCCAGAAGATTAACAGCTAACGGTTTGGCGGGGAACTCCGCTCTCCCTCCCCCCTAGCAGTATATAAGGAGCGGAGTGTCCACCATTTTCCAGTCTTTGCGACCACCGTTCATTGTGCCTCATGCCGCTTCGCTCTCGCTTAGATCTTACCTCGTGCTCTCTTGTTCGAACCACTTTTTTTCTCTTATTCATTCCAAGTTAGAATTCTCTCCTTACCTTTATATATTATTCCTGTTATTCTCTCCAGTTTTTTATCTTCTTGTTCCTATAAAAAAAAACAAAAAATATTATCTATTTCCGCTTTGCTATTTTCTTTCCTTCTTTTTCGTGATGGCTCAATGGGCGGCGTTCTGCAAGTGCGGAGAGTGTCGCTCTAAAATGCCCGCTGCAGACCCACACGACCTGTGCCTCCTTTGTTTAGGGGAAGGTCACAGGACGGACAAATGTGTCCATTGCCTGGCCTTTTCAAAACAAGCCAGGAAGAATAGGGGGAACCGTTTACGGAAGCTCCTGTGGGACCAGGCCCTCCTACAATCTGATCGACTGGTGGCTAAGCCTGGTGCAATTTTGGCCCCACCAGACTGCCGTCCAGCCTCTACTGAACCGCCACAACGCCCGGCCCCTTCCTCTACTGCTCTGCCCTCATCCCCTTCGGGTGAGAGTGCTTCCGCCATCAGAGAGCAGTCTGTTTCTCCGCCCAAGAAACAAAAGGAAAAGAGGAAGCACAGTGCACCTGAGAATCCGCCTATGCACAAAAGGCCAAGAAAGATAGGGCCGAGAAACCGGCCAAGAAACCAAAGAAACCCGAGCATTCCAAACACCAACGCTCAGGTTCGGCGGCCTCTTCGGTTCCGATGGCAGCCCCGGTACCGACACCCTCGGGTCTGACCATCCAAACAGCGATGAGAGTCACGGCTCCAGTGTCCCCACACCATATGGATCTGGAGTTACATCAAGATCCACCTCACGGTTTGATCTCTGATGGCGAGATCGAAGACTCTCCACCGAGGGCTCAATCCCCAACTCCTATGCCATCTGTTGGGCTCGACCCTGGTGCCGGACAGTCCCCACTGAAAGAACAGAGGAGCTGATCATCAGAACCCCACTCTGATGACTGGTACCATGCCAGATACGTGTCTACATCGAGGCTTCGGCGAATGGGGCGGCATAAAAATGTTTTAATTAATTAATTAATTAATTAATATGGTCCGACTATCCACCCGTCGGATACTACCCAGCTCCTCGGGATCGATCTCCAACACCTAAGCGTCGGGACCAACCTCATCCTTCAACCTCAACAGGCGCCAGGTGTGTACCGCCTCTGAAGGCAAGGGATCCCAGTCACCGGGTGGTTCCTCCTCCAGTGACCCGCCTCCATATTGGGTACATTCGGGTGAGTCGGAAGTCTATTCTACTTCTCCCGACGCTGCGGTCACTTCACAGGGTCCGGCATCACCAGAAGAACCTCACATCACATTCGCCGAGTTGATGTCCAGGCTTGTGAAGTCATTGGAGATCGAAGTGAGCCAACTACCGGGGCCTAGTACTGACCGTTTCTATGACATCGTACGGGGAGAGCAACTGACCTCCATCACATTGCCACTCATCACGACCCTCAGACAAGCGATGACCCAACCATGGGACCTCCCAGCACAGCCTCAACCGACCTCCAAAAAATATGAGGCGATGTACAGGGTTCAGGAAGGAGACATTCCGTTCCTCCTCTGCCACCCCAAACCAAATTTGGTGGTGGTGGAATCGTCTCAAGGTCAGGAGGCGCGGGGTCACACAGCGCCCCAAGACAAAGAGGGACGAAAAATCGATTCTCTTGTGCGCCGGGTCTATGCAGCTTCAGGACTGGGCCTCAGAATATCTAATTAAGAAGCGAACCTGGCACGCTATCAATATTTTATAATGCAGCATTTAGATAACATCGCTGCCCTGCCTGATAACCAAGGTGATTTGGTGAGGGTCTTCGTCAAAGAAGCGATGCAAGTCGCCATACAACAGTTATCCACAGCCAGACACCATGTGGATACAGATTCAAGGGCTCTCGTTGGCGCCATCTCTCTCCGGAGACATGCATGGTTGCGTAACTGCAGCTTTCTGGAAGAGATGAAGCAGAGAATTGAGGAGATGCCCTTTGACGGATCCGGCCTATTCAACACCCAAACTGATCATAAGTTGAAGAGGATTCATGAATCGAGAATGACGGCCCGGCACATGGAACTACAGCTGCCTGTTCGACATAAGTGGTCTTGGAACCGGCCTCAGTATAGGCAACAATATCCATCCCGCCAACAACCATAACATAGCCAGCAATGCCGCAAGCAACCATCTCAGCGTTTCCAGCAAGGCTGCCGCCGCTTTGACGGAGAAAGACACCAGCGATCATGGGACGAGTGAACCCTTCCTCTCCTCCCAACTCTACCCTCCCCCCTCTCATTTGGGGACCAGCTGAAAAGCCGACTCCCCATTTGGGAGTCCATTACATCTGACGGGTGGGTGTTATCCATCATCCAGCACGGATATAGAATTGAATTCGACGTTGTTCCATCATCGAGTCCTATCCGGTTTACAGTGAGCTCGTCAGTTCTGTTGGACGAGATTCACCAACTCCTTGCTAAAGGAGCTGTTCGTCGCTTATCGTTATCGGAAGGACTCCACAGATTGTATTCCAGATATTTCACGGTCCCGAAACGAGATGGAAGTCTCTGACCTATATTGGACTTAAGAGCTCTCAAGAGATTCATAACACCAAAAAAGTTTCAGGTGACCATGCTTCAAAATACCCTTCCGTTGCTGGGGAGAGGGGATTGGTTCGCATTGCTGGATTTGAAGGATGCCTATTTTCATATTTCAATACATCCACGTCATAGGCGTTTCCTTCGTTTTGCGGTAGCCTCTGAAATCTACGAATTCAAGGTGTTGCCGTTTGGATTAGCCATTGCACCAAGAGTCTTCACAAAGTGTATAGCTCCTGTTTGTGCCTACCTTCAACTACGTGGAATTCGGATATATCCGTACCTCGATGATTGGCTGTTGGTTTCCGGGACTAGAGAAGGACTTACTTCTGCTGTTAATATCACTTGTGATCTATTGCAAGACCTTGGACTCCGCATTAATCGCCAGAAATCTTCTCTTCTCCCTACACAGACGATGAACTTTATCGGAGCTTGGCTGGACTCCACGGTGATGAGAGCCTTCCTTCCTCGAGACAGACAACATGCTATCGCCCGACACATCTATCGAATTCAACGAGACGGAACTGCTCCTGCCCGATCTGTTCAAAGACTGTTGGGGCATATGGCAGCATCCATCGCCGTAGTCCCGTATGCCAAACTCCGGCTATGTCCTCTCCAGTTATTCTTCAATGGGATATTCCGGCCACAAAGGGATCCGCCTACGAAGCGGATTCGACTCCCATCCTCCGTTCTACAGTCCCTCCTATGGTGGACAGAACCAGACAATTTAAATGTCAGAATCCCGTTTCGACCCCGGTACCCTACAGTGACTCTTGGTACCGACGCATCCCTTCTGGGATGGGGAGCCATTTCCAATCTATGCACCCAGGGCGTTTGGAGTTATCGGGATTCCAGGAACCACATCAACTTCCTGGAACTTCTTGCCGTATTCAAAGCACTGCAGTCATTCGAGGACATGCTTCTTCACCAAGTTGTCCAAGTAACTTCAGGCAACATAGCCACAGTTTTTTATTTAAACAAACAAGGGGGAACATGGTCCCCGAAACTAGCCCGCCTGTCTATGCGAATCTGGGAGTGGTGCATACCAAGGGACAACACTCATAGCAGTGCATCTCACAGTGCTTCTACGGACAAGGTAGAAGCAGATCTTTTGAGCAGACATATGTCACGGTCACACAAATGGGAACTGGACTGTCAGATCTGTGACAGACTGTTTCACCTCTGGGGTCCCCCATACTCCAGAGCGGGAATCGGACGGGGTCGTCCGGGACGCCTTCATGATTCCATGGAGTGACATGACTTTTTATGCTTTCCCACCGATTCCCCTCATCATGAGAGCGGTAGCAAAGATTATTCACGAAGGGGCCACAGAACTACTGATAACCCCTTGGTGGCCATGCCAGCCATGGTTCTTGACGCTTCTTCATATTTCTCGGAATGTATTTCTTCAACTTCTTCTTGTCCCTTATCTCATTACTCAGCGACAGGGCATGATCCGACACCCAGACCTGCCATTGCTGAAACTAACCACCTGGCGAATTCAACACCTATAAGTGCCAGACTGGTATCGACGCCACCTGTAATTCCTCCTACCTCTGCCTCATTAGATTTAGTGAATATATCATCAGCCTCACAAGCCTTACATCCAGATCTGCAATATATTCTCGACTCTGCGTTAAGACCATCCACTTGAAAGTCGTACGCGGCGAAGTGGCGCAGATTTTCTAGCTTTGCCGAATCTCACTTGTTTCCAGCACCATCCGCATCTGTAGAACAGATCCTTCAATTCCTCTTTGAACTACACTAGTCTGGACTTAAACCTTCTTCCATAAAAGTATATACAGCGGCAATCTCTTATTATCGCGGAACTGTGCAAGGTTTTTCCATCTTCTCTCAACCATAGATTAAAAGATTTTTGAAAGGACTTTGTAACCTCC